TTGGGATTAAGAAAATAGCAACGATTAATCATAATATTAATTGGACAAACTTCAATGGGTTTTCCTTAGCAAATACAACTTATTAGCTAAATAAATCCGATTTTTCGTTGGTACTTGATTTTTTCTTAGGCACATTTTGAAGATTTTTGCCTTAGTTTTTAGTAGTATTTGTAAGAGTCCGTTTTTTTTTCAACAATCCTCTACAGTATTGATTTTTGCTCGTGCACCATGTCTCTCTTTATCTGAAACTTTTATCGAAAGAAGCGAATTTTAATTGAAAAAAATGTTCAAAAACCGCATTTTCTCCAAAAAAACACTAATAAAAGTAGTTGGCGAAGGGTTTTTTTATAAGGGGAGCATATTTTGAACTGTAAACGCGAGGAAATTTTAAGTTAAACACGCGTAAACAACAACTAACTGATTATTTACACACAGGAGGACAACATAGGATCCGAGCAGCAACGAATTATATTTACAATTGCATTAAGACGGTGTATAATTAAATATTTTTTGTGGTTTGCACTGCATGTTTTTGCGAGTTTTATCATTATCTATTATTATATGTTATACGATTTACATGTTTATTGTTGCAGTAAATTCGTTTCTTCTTGCGGCTGCAACTGGTTGCGGATTCTTGTTCCTGTATTTTATTATCTTCTATATTTTGTTGTTAAAGGTTTCAATAATGAGCGATCCCGGTGTCCATCCGGAGAATGTGCCGAGCATTAAGAAGGAATTGGATTCGTTTGCTGAATGTTCGCCGTCAAACAGCAATTTGTACTCTCCAACTACAACGACGACAATCATCAGTGAAAACGTAATCCAGTCATCAGACGTGAGTTTTACTTTACTCTTTCTTTTTTTCGTGTAAATTTAAGCGTAACGTTTTTTCGCAGAGAATCGACTATGGTGAGCATTACGATGGGAAAATGCGTTCGCCAGATAGTCCAGATCGTCAGTATTGCTCTTCGACGACTCAGCCGCATACAGATCCCGGAATTGGACATAGTGAGGTAATTTAGCTTGTTATAAGTGAACTTTCCGCAAATTCACGTCGAAATTGCTCCAGATCGACCTGAAAAATGAGGACGATTCACCTAGAAGACTCTGTTTGGTGTGCGGCGATTTTGCGTCCGGTTTCCACTATGGAGTGGCCTCTTGTGAAGCGTGCAAGGCATTTTTCAAGAGGACAATTCAAGGTAAATTGCAGCTGCAAAACCCGAGCTACTATTCTAGATTTGCGCTTCTATGTTCCAGGTAATATAGAATATACTTGTCCAGCGTCCGGCGATTGTGAGATCAACAAGCGCCGAAGAAAAGCTTGCCAGGCGTGCCGCTTTCGGAAGTGTCTTCGCTCCGGCATGTTAAAGGAGGGTGTGCGACTCGATAGGGTGCGGGGCGGCCGTCAGAAATACCGCAGGAATCCGGAAAGTCCCTATCAGGTTCAAGTGGTGTCTGCTCAAAAACCGCATATTTTACTTGAAGGTAACTGGAGGTCGTTTTTGCTATTTTCCCCATTTCCTGACATTTCTTTTGCAGACATTAAAATGCTGGAAGCTCTGGTTTCATGCGAACCGGACTCTTTGGAGATCAACACGACTTTGGACCATACAAAGCACAGAACGCTGTCGATATTAAGTGACCTCTACGATCGGGAACTGGTCGGGATTATTGGATGGGCGAAACAGATTCCAGGTACAAATTCCACTAATTAACTCTTTGCTCGGTTAATCAGTAAAATGTGGGTTTTTGTTGCAGGCTTTTCTGATCTCTCCCTAAACGACCAGATGAGATTGCTGCAAAGCACATGGGCGGAAATACTAACGTTAACACTAGCATTTCGCAGTTTACCCATGATAAGCCTTGGGCGCTTAAAGTTTGCCATCGATTTTACGTTGGATGAGAAACAGTCGAAGGATTGCGGTGCGCTGGAGTTATATCAGACGGTAATCATTGTCTACTCACGCTAAAAATTCCCTCTTAATATTCCTCATTTTAGTGCACTCACATGGTGGAGCGACTGGAGAGCCTGTCGATACTTAAAGAGGAATACTATCTGCTCAAAGCTCTGGTGCTTACGAACTCCGATGTTAGACTAGACGAGTATCAGTCTCTTAGGAACTTTCGCGACAGCATTTTAACGTCTTTAACCGACGCGATCGGCATTTTAAGGTCAGTCAGTAATAAAGAAACGTGCAATCGGACTAATTGGAGAATTTTCCTAGGCCGAACACAATGTTGCAGCAGATCCAACAGCTGCTACTTTGCTTGCCAGCGTTGCGACAAGCCGACCAAGTGGTCAGGAAGTTTTGGTCGGATATTCACACGCAAAATTTGGTTCCAATGAACAAACTGTTTCTGGAAATGCTGGAAGCCTCCAATCGGTAGCTTAGTTCGATCGCGGTTTTGGTATTGCAAGGAACCAGGGGCCAGGTGTAAGTAAGTAGAACGCCGCGCTTGTACAAATTAATTTTAAGAACTACGGGTCGATTTGGTTGTGAATTTAGCGAAGTATTATTACTAACCTAATTAATGATAAGACCTTAAGTTTAAAGCAATATTTTCGCGAGCGAGTTTGTGATGTTTCTAGGATAAGGGGACCACCCAAGGGCCAGGTGTTTTCTTGCAAGACCAAGCCGGTTAAAGCTGTACAGATTACGCTTTTAGACGCGTCAGTTTTTACCAATATTTTGCACGATTTAGGTTTAACCAAAAGCTTTCTCGCTAGCAACTAAGAGGAGTCAATGATAGTTTGTCACGCTCTAAACATGAATCACGTTGCCTATAGACTACGAGCACTGTTATATACTTAACAATAATTAGACCGAATTGAATAGTTTATTTTCAGGCACGTGATCTATTTTTGGATATCTTATTTGCCTTAGAGTCGTTTTGGACTGTGCTTTTGAAAACGAATTTTAAGTCACATCCACCCTTCCTAACATTTAGGTTGGTTCAGTAGTATTCGAACTGTTTTAATGTTCGTTGTGGGAAGTTGATTAGAATAGTCTGCTACTATGGGAAACATTTTGTAAATAGTTATAAAATATATTTTTTAGAAGGTAGAATTGTAAAATAATATACATATTTTTGTGCCGTCAGTGAATTAGTCTTCTGGCGCAAGGGCCTGATATGAATATTAAAAAAGTGAACAGGCTTTTTGTTTTTTTATGGTCCGCTGGTTTTGGGGGTTTTGCTTAAATGAAAGACATTTTCTGGTAACAAACAATAAATACATTTTTACTCGTTAGATATGTACATCAATATACAGACTCTAAAAAAAAGATTGAAGGGTTTACATGAAACTCTAAAGATAATTGAATTGGAGCTTAAAATATAGTATCCTTTACATTAAACGTGACGCTTCGTCTTTATCATGTATATGATTCTTGTAACTGAAAAGACCGGCATCAAGAGAGACATTTATAAACTAATAAAATATTGCACATCAATGTGATGCGTTGAAAATATATCCTGAATATCAATATGGTGGTTAAACGCCCACTTTTCAGCAAACACCTGGAAATGCCCTTATCCTTGTCACCTACGGCTTAAACATGGCACGGAAACGTTTAAGTATACAAGTTCGCATTAAAAAATAATATAGACATTTGTTCAGAGCGGAGCTGCTAAAAACCCTGTTCAAGGAGCATTAGTGGATAGTTTGAGAATCAAATGATTTACCTCGAGTGCGTGGTATTAAAGTGGGTTGGTGTCGCTCGCGGCCGCAATAACATGCAACTGTTTACCTTTGCTTTTATTGTATACCTGGCCAGAAGTAAAGGGCTCTAAGCGAGGGTGAGTATCACTGGCACTGGTTTTTTCTGCAAATATTTTCTGTTAGTTTGCGTTGAATGTTTCTGCAGTTTAGTTTTTTACATCTTTATCTTTATTAGAAAATTTGGATGGAGATAACATGTGAAATAAAAATGTTCATATCGTTTATATCCTATTACGTTTCGGAACGACAACAGCGTCATCATCAGATTAAAATTCAAAACAATAATTGGGAAACATTGGATTATTTATAGACGTAGCTGTATTAAAAACTTCAAATTTGTTTCTATAAACAAATATGAAGTTTTGAAGAGTTTAGTTTTAAAAGCTTAGTTGCCTTGCAACCAACATTTTAAGGAAACACTGTTTAATTAATACGTTAATTGCTACTTACCAGACTGAAGCGTGTCTGCTGGAATATACTTCGAAATACGAACTAACGGCAACGGCAAGAAGCCGCTGGTCAATGGCATCACATCCAGAACAACGCGTTGTACCGCATTTTCTTCTTCTGCAACCAAAATTAAAGATAGCCCACTTCTAACAGTCGAATAAGCGGCGAAACGCAAACAGGGTCAATTTCTAATCGTTCCACTGAAGAGAAACAAAAAAGTGAAGAAACCTTCCTTGCTTACTTCCGATCAAACTTGGATGATTCCTGAATCTGTTTACTTTGCAGATAAACCTTCAACTAAGCTTGAGGTTGCTTGTTACTCGCCTAAAATTCCTCCGAAAGAAATGACGCCCGCCGTCCGTCCACAAACAGCCCAAACGCTCTGTTCCGCCAAAACTTCATACATAACCGAACGGATGTCCGCATTCTCCTTTCCATGCACCGCCACCATGTTCGATATTGTAAGATGTAAATGGCAAACGACTCCGACCCGGCAAAACTCGTTGCCTTTGGCTGGCTCAACAACGGCATCCAGTGCGTACAAAGTCTGAAAAATCCCCATTTCCATCCGTCTCATACTTATCCACTCCAGCTAATTTTACCTTAAAGTCAGTCACATCAAAATAGTACTGGTACGACTTGTAGCAATCATTTTCGGTCAGTTTGTACTGCACACTAAATTCAGCTTTGGCCGAATTAGCGGCTACATTAGTGTGCGCCAATTCCCACAAAAACGAGTAACTTAAACCATTAGAAATAATCTGAAATTGACGAAAATGCATAATTAAATCAGAATCATCGCGCGCGAATCATTCGCTCACCAGACTAGAATCACAGTGTTTGGTAGAAACGGGAATGCTTTTGACGTTCAGATCGGGTTCGTGGACAATGAGATTGTCCACGCAATGCCCCACAACGTTCACCTGCACAAACTTGCGGTAATCTACCGTAAAAAGTCGCCAAGTTGTCGACATGGGCGGCGAGAAGTTCAATGGAACCACTATGGGCTTTGGAACCCATGGCACATGAATGGTAACTGAAGTTACGCAAGTTATATGGAATTAAGTCGCTGAGTGTTTACTCACCTTGATGGTCCCGAGTGAGAAGGTCTGCTAAAACTCTTAGAGGCATTTTTGTGCTTGAAAACGTGGCCTTGTCTCCCACCTCGATTTCCAAATTATTCGTCAAAGCCTCCTCTGGCTGGATTTGAAACGTTAAGCCCGTAGAAGCAGTTAGTTTTATTATTGACTTCTGAAACGATAATTAATAGTAGTTTAGGACGGTGACTAAAATGTGAATGTTCAACTCACTGGCTCAATAAGGTAACTTCCAATGGTTAGTATAAGGTTCATGACTTGCTCGATGCCAGATAGTAAAGGCGCCGGCCGTTTATACAGTCGTATCGAAGGGCTTTCTTCCTGGACTTCCAGAGTTAGGCGGGGCAAAATCGGCGGCGATTTCAGTTGCAACTTGTCTACATGAATAATCGCCGCATCCAAACAATATTTCCCTACATCGGTGGCTTTTTTGCTTAGTTTCAGCACATTCAATCCTGGAGTGAGTAACAGTGGCTGAAAATTAAATGGAATTTATGGGGAGTTGCTGGCGCAAAAAAATCCTCACCAGCTTCTCAGCTTCAAGAGCCGCACTCAGATCGGTTCGGCTCCGTGCTGGCGCACTATCTTTCCTATGAAGCTGAGTGAGCTTGGAGGCAATGCCCGAAGTAGCCAGTTGCTTGTCCTGCTTATAATTCAGCGTTCGTTTGATTCGCAATCGTTGCAGAAGCGGATCCTGCCACTTTAAGTCCTGAAAGCCACACTTAAATTACTAGTGCCGGTAGCTCGCTGTCTGCTGGCGTACCTTCTTTGTTAATAATTTCCCGCTGTGATACCGCACGTTGCTTTTCGGCTTCTCTTCCCTTTCCAGGCAAACTGCAAAGTAGGTGCATACAATTTCCTTGGGGAAATTCGATTCGATCGCCAGCTCAACCTCCATTTTACAGTCCTGCATCACGATCAAATCGCTGGTTATGGCAACGCTATTTATTCTGAGCATATCGTTAAACGCCAGTTCCATCGGTTTGTCCAGCTTGACCAAGTGCTTGGTCATTTCATCGAAATAACTCCATCTAAAAATGCGAAATAAACACGGATTTTGTCACGGATAATTTAATGTAATTCACAAACCTGATTAGAGTGTCGATTTCTACAGCCGCCGACACTGCAGCACAAGCTTTGATGTATTTTTGCGAATCCTCCGCCTTTTTGTGACAATCGGACAAGCATAGTTGTGTTTGCGCGGCCAATTCGTGCCAGCCATCGCTTTCGAAAGTGCGAATCGCATCTCCAAGAAAAGCGGCCGCTTTCTGCGTTTCGCCGAGCAGCAAGTAAAAAGTGGCCACTTCCTGGCCCACCAGTCGGGCCATTCTTAAGCGCCCGACGTGCTTAAAAGTACCCATCGCCAATTCAGCCAATTCCTTCAAAGAGTATTTCAAGTTTATTGCTCTTTTTAACCCTTCCGAGTCGTTCTAAAGGACGATATTCGCTACTTTTTCTACTAGTGCTTACCAAGTAAGACTTAATGAACACATCTTGCGAGCAAAGTGCCTCCTTGAGCCGATCAGTTGGCGATGGACTATTAAGCGGCCCAGGATTATCTCCCATTCCCGCCGATAAACTGACCACTACGTGCAACTGTTCGGATGTCGGAGCTCCTTGAGGCATCAGCCCGCACAATTCCCCCAACTTTCTTAGCTAAAGCAACGCATTTTTCAAAAAATTGAAGAACTGAGCCATTTGTTGCTGATACCTTTTGACTAGCATATTCCCACAATGCAGCCGTATGCAATGAGTATTCCTCCACTTGGTCGGCTTGATTGAACTTATCGCATACTTGCAGCACCTCCATGCTAGCGAGAAAGAGCCAGCACCAAACAGCGCCAGGCGGAGCCGTGATTTCCAAAATAGCCAGCTCGCGCACACAAGTGTGGAGAAATGGAAGGCATCGGGACGCCATCTGAAACCCCCAGATGGTTTAAAAATCCCCCGAAAAGTTGGCGTTTGCAGACGTACTTCCCAGACTTTGTTGGTTAGCAATAACATCCGCGATTGCCTAGCGAATATATAGGCCCTCAATTCTAAGAGTGAGGGAGTGTCTTCGACGAGTGAGGGTTTGAGTCGTAGGCCGTGCCACTGGTCCAAAGGCCGTTGAAACTGGCTGAGCCACTTCAGGTTGTCGCAAGTGGTGAAATTCGCCACAAATTGCGAAAACAGAGCATCCAGCTCGTCGTACTGCACTAGGGCTTCATCGTTCAGTCCCAGCATTTCCAGCACTTGAGCTAGTTCTTCCTAGAAACAATCCGAACAGTCACCCTTAAGTTTGCCGGGTTCGCTGGGGTTTCACGCACTTGCAGCATGAAATATTTCATGAAATTCCATCCGGGTTCGTTTCGCCGCTCTCTTTGCTGCCTTACATGCTCTTCCAGTCGCGTAACCGCTCGAGCGTATGCCACTAGCAATAAGTGGCGAACTCTGCTCACCAGCCCCCGCCATGACTCTGCTGTCTTGCTTTCGGCTCTGCCAGGATTTATTACGGAAATACATCGATCACCTGCAGGTAAGAGATGATTGGAACATTCATTGGCAATTCTAGAAGATTGAACCCGCTTTCACTTGCCTTGTTTAACAGCAAAATCTGCTCGAATTTTATCTAGAACAGTCGTTCTAGGGATCAACTGTTTCGTTCTTTTACCATCATAATTCTCCACCACTACAATGAGCCAATCGGTTATTTCCCGTGAGTTTAGCTCCTTCAACCAGGCTTCAATATCTTCACGGATCGTGTTTTTGTAAGTGTCCACATCCTGAAAACAGCAATGTGTTTCATTGTTCTGGGAATTCCTCTGTGGAATGTGAGTGATTTTGCAAATGTTTTCAGAGTTCATACACAGGAAAATACCGGTTACACACACGCAGTTTGGTTGGAATGCATTTGGAAACAAACTAAAATCCACTGAATCCGTAAACCACTTGAAATGTCTGCTATTTCAAATCTTGGGCTTGAATTTATCTGAAATACCTAGGAATTCGAATACAATGGAAAGTGAGTGACTTCTTGATTGTGGTCGAATTTTATCAGTTATAAACATGATTAGCGTGTGTAACAACTCAGCTTTAAAGATATGCCTCATAAATCAACAGCTCACTGAAATGTACTTTAAATGGCTTGGATGATGATCGACTATACATGGCTGAAGGTCTAGATTGTGCTACTCACAGTACATTCTGTCCAGTAAGTATGAAAAAGGGGCTGCCTGATAAGATCCCACTGGCTGCACTTTGGTAACGATTGGACATTGAATGGTACAAAATTGGCCCCAACATGCACATTTTTAATGGGTCTGCCCAAAGACCTTCGCCACTCGCATGTATCCTTTGGTAAGGCATTGGACAGGTTTTCTTCCACTGTGGAAAATACCTCCAACTCGCCTGCACCTGAAACGCGAGCCAGTCAAAGGAGCTATCCTTCATTTAAGCCGATTATTATTGCTAAAGGTTGACTTTTGACCTACATGTTACTATAGGACGCCTATCAATTCCCAATTGAGCCAAATTATTCGGTTCTTCATCGACAGTTCCATTCATCTTCGGTTCACTTGATTAACCAGGGGGCGTGAAAACTATCATTGTTGTTGAACGCTACTGTGCAATTATCACAATTATTTCATTGATAAATACATATTTAAATACTAAATATTTTCGTCTGCACCACAGGAATTTGACGTTTTGATTGACCCGAATCAGCTGATTATCGACAACTTCTCTTCGTAATCAATATTCAGGCTTGCCAACAGTCTGGAGTTTTGGCCCCAATAAACCTAAAATTTCTATAAGGCGCCATTGAAGGCCTGCCTGTGGAATTTTTCTAATAGTCTGACTTGAAAATTACGTGGAAAAAATACCCAATCTTTTGCCCAGCATCCCCATTTCCCCTTATAATAAAGCCAGTTATTTCTTGCTCTGGCTACCCTGGTCCTAATACTGCCAAAGTCAGCCATATAAGTTGGGTTATGTTTGCAATGTTTTGAAAAACGTAGACGCCAAAGGAGAACTGGATTATGCAAAAAACTGAGTTGAGTAATGAAAAAATTGGCCTAAAGTAATGGAAAAGGTTTTCCTGCATCCTACAGTTTTCTACTGTTCCCAAACTTAGGTACAATTTTTTATAATTTATATTGGTCGTGTTTTGGCCATGTACATACAGATGCCCCCGGTGATACTGATTTATTATATTTAGTTGCATTAGTTTACAACTCGCATCTTGAATACACCATGTACAGGAGAGAATGCAGTGATGAAACTTCTGAAACTTGAGAAGCCAAATTTCCCGCAAGAAAACACGTTAATGCGGTCAATGGATACATACATTGATCGAGTTTCCTGCCGGAAACTCAACCAGCTACTAACTTTTCAGTCAAATTGCGTGCAAAGTCTCTAATCTAACATGCTCAAAAACCGGTTTTCACTCAATCTATCGATGCTTAAAGATAACAGGAACGACTTTATCGGAAACTAGTCTTTGAGAAATTCGATTACAACGTTCGCAGCATGTAATTTTGCCGAACACCTTCGTTAACGAAAGTTATATACCCACATCTTCGCTAAAGTTAACGCTGGCTTTACAAATTTCACTGAGTTTCCTGATAATTATTTTAAGGCTTCAGAAGACGAGCATGTGGTTCAATTACTTTGGCTCAAAAAGTGCCAGATATAATTTCTGTAGTCAATTTTTTATCATAGATATTGTCTTCGTTGTGTTGGCGATTTTAAGTTGTCACTATTTCACTTTTTCTTGTTCCATATATTCTCTGGTATTTTTTACTTTCTGCTCAAATGTCTGAAACTGTTGCCTTCAACCTTCAACTTACCTTCACTAATAAGATTGTTCCATTTTCTTTAACTAGGGTGTCATTTAGATTATTTGGGTGTGTCCTATTGATTTCTCATCACTTTCAAATTTTCTGTTTATTGCCCACTTATGAAAAGATTAGTACGAAGATGCTAATTCTTTGTCAGCCTTCAACCGCTCGTTCTTCTTACATTGTGAAAGCTATTTTCGTTAAAAAACCTGTTGAATTAGTATGGTGGTGTCTTTAAAACCAGCATCCATCGGGTCGATTTCTTTCTCATTTAATGCAAAAATCTAGAAATTTGGGGCTCATTTTTTTAAAATACTGTTGAACCTTAAAAAGTGTTTCCGCATCTTTGGGTAGTAAGTTCAAAACTTTCCAAAAACTCCCCGATGATGGCTGGGTTTCGGAAACTTTTCACATCCATCAAGTTTTCACTTCTTCATTTAACGAAAAATTCTTGACTTGATGGTTTTACTCATTATAAAATTGTTGATTTTGGAAAAGTAACGTGACAAGAGTTGAAGGAAATAAAGTGATGAAAATGAAAAAAAAATCCTGAAATTTCCTGATCAAGGTAGTGCTTCTGAAATTTTTAGTGACTATTGACTGTTCCGATCGCCATTTAATGCAAAAATCGACAAGTTAAAGGCTCATTTGGTTAAAATACTGTTGAATCTGAGAAAAGTGATGCCGCATCTTGTGATAGCAACATAAAAACATTCCAAAAACTCCCCGATGATGGCTGGGTTTCGGAAACTTTTCACATCCGTCAAGTTTTCACTTCTTCATTTAACGCAAATATCCCTGACTTGATGGTTTTACTCATTAGAAAACTGTTGATTTTAGAAAAGTAACGTGACAAGAGTTGAAGGAAATAAAGTGTTGAAAATGAAAAATATTCCTAAAATTTCCTGATGATGGTAGTGTTTCTGAAACTTCTAGCGCCTATCGACTGTTCCGTTATCCATTTAATGCAAAAATCGACAAGTTTAAGGCTCATTTGATTAAAATACTGTTGAACCTGAGAAAAGTGTTGCCACATCTTTTGATAGCAGCTTAAAAACTTTCCAAAAACTCCCCGATGATGGTTGGGTTTCGGAAACTTTTCACATTCATCAAGTTTTCGCTTCTTCATTTGACGCAACAATCCTTGACTTGATGGTTTTACTCATTATAAAACTGTTGATTTTGGAAAAGTAACGTGACAAGAGTTGAAGGAAATAAAGTGCTGAAAATGAAAAAAAATCCTAAAATTTCCTGATGATGGTAGTGTTTCTGAAACTTCTAACGCCCATCGACTGTTCCGTTCTCCATTTAATGCAAAAATCGTCAAGCTAAAGGCTCATTTGGTTAAAATACTGTTGAACCTGAGAAAAGTGTTGCCGCATCTTTTGATAGCAACTTAAAAACTTTCCAAAAACTCCCCGATGATGGCTGAGTATCGGAAACTTTTCACGTCCACCAAGTGTTCTCTTCTTCATTTAATGCAAAAATCGGCTCGATGCAGCTTGGTTTCAATAAAAACCTGTTGATTTTTAAATGTAGCACCGACCCAAACATTGCTAAAAACTGACACTCGAAGTTAAAAATCGTCCGAAAAGTTCCTAACTTTTAGCGTCTGTTCAGACCCCTTTTCGTTTTTTAAAACAAAAAAAGCCGAGTTGAAACCTCGCTTTATTAACAAATGGTTCATTTTTTAGAACGTGTTTGTCCAGTAGTGAATCATCGCTAATGCAAAACTATGAACGTGTTATTTCAATTTCACTGTTAAAAAATTCGTGGTGTTTCTTGCTTAGGATGTTCCTCTTCCTGCACCTTTTCTGCGAATTGTTTCTAAGCAATGCCCTCATTTTCCCTGGACTAAATTGTTTGAGATCGGGCCGGTTTGAACCAGATGGTTGATCAAAAGCTCCATTTTCCGATTCCGTCTCTCCCTGACCGTATGCTAATTGTGAGAACCATTAAGAAGTGCAAAGTAGTAAAAGTCGATCTAAATCGTAGGAAAGAACCCCAATTCACACCTGAAAAATGATTTGAGTCAACAAGATCTGCCTTCTTCAAGAGTTCGGAATCTGTTTGCAGTAGAGGTTTCTTATATTACAGTTTGAACGAGTTCTTCGGCTCTCCGTTAACGCAAACATTCATGCTGGCAGACGGAAATGACGCTCATTCACAAGGTTCTGGCTTTTGTGTGTTTCTCTCTAGTGTTGCGGCACCAGTGCCCCTTTAGTGTTGGACAATCAATCGACAATGTTTACTACAATCCATACTTTCATTTTCCATATGGAGGACCGTATATGGGTGTAAGTACAACCGTTGTAAAGGAATAGTTGGGCCACTAAGCTTGGAAATTGTGCTACATTAACACGTTTCCATCTTGGAAATTTGATTTATAAATTGAAAATGTACACATGCTTAATAGAGTAAAGTGTTGTGCCAATAAAGTGCGCATCTTTTTAGCCAGCGAAACAATTTTATTATTGGGCGGTAGCATCTTGTAAATGATGTTATATTTTCAATCGAGTCATTCATCAGGTTCAAATGGGGCCAAAATGGTCAGTTTGCGGCTTAAGTGAAAATTTGCACTTAGATCTTGAACTAAAAAAGTGGGTAAAGCCAGAATTCGTCTGAGCAAAGCGGAAACTGTCGATCAATCCCCGATAATCAAAGGGTTGGCTTGGCCAGCCCGATCACCAGACTTAAATCCGCTCGATAATTTTTGGTGTTTAATTGATTGTTTGATTATTTATTACTGTTGTGACCGCATGTATGAACGGAATTGTTTTTCTAGTTCCTGGTGGCATTTGCCCTGCCTTTGAAGGTTCAAACCCCTGGAGACATTTTCTTCTCCATGAACTTTGAGGCTGGATACAGTCTGCCGGAAAACGAGACCCAATTCACTTTTCCACCCATTATTGCCGCTTCAGCCCGTCAGGTGCTGTACGACCTGTTCGAAAGGAAGCTGGAAAGGTCTGTAGTTTTTACCGTAAATTATATCGAGCTCCAGTCCGTTGACTTTTGAGAAAGTTTGCTGAATTAATATTATTAAAATGTTTTCAGTCAAACTGTGTAATAAGAATTTTCATATAACGTTTCGGCGAGACAACAGCGCCATCATCAGATTTAAAATTCAACACAAACCCATAATTGGGA